GCCTTTCTCCCTCTCCCGGGCCTCCCTCCCAAACTCTTGGCCTACGTCCCTACCATCCCAGCACAACTAAGTAGTCCTCCGGCAACCCCATCCCTACTTCACGCGCCCGTACGCATCGATCAATCTCCCCACCCATTCCTCCTCAACACCCCTGCTTACGTTCTAATTCTTCAACACCAATACACAGCCACATATCATCCTCATAAAATCGCGAGAGCGTTTCTCCAAGTGCCATCATCGCCATGACCATCACCTTTTTTCCTTTTTTTCCTTTTTTTTTTCAAGATGGACCATTTCTCGATTTATGCGTGTCAGCCTCGCGCAGGGGCAATGTCAAAATCTTCTTTGTGCCGTTTCGATCTCTTTAACGGATGATGTCCCGAAGGACTCCATTCATAATCAAGATCCATGTGGCTAGTAATACACAGCCACGTTGGGCAATCATCTTGGCTGCTGTGTTACCAAACAGCCCGGTCCCGGTCACCTTGATTGCCCGGGCGGCCTGGCCGGCCCTGTAAGAAAAACAACAAAAAAAATATCCAAAATTTCCAGAAAACAAACTAAGTTACAATCATCTTGTCTGCTCTGTTTTTACCAAACGGGCCGCCCGGGGCATCGTCTTTATTGCCCGGGCGGCCCGGGCGGGCCCTTAAAAAAAAAAACAGAAAAGAATCCAAAAAATCCGGAAAACAAACTATGGGCCTCGCTGTACTCTCGAAATGTGCAAAACGAGAGTGAATCTGCGGCTAGAATATGGAAAGATGCACCGCCATGATTTTTGTCTTTTGTGCATGTCGAGAGTAGTGCATCGAGGCCCTAAGTTGTGCAGAAAAATAAACTGAAGAAATTTTGCCTCAGGATCGGATCGAATCGAAATTCGTTGCCAAATTAAAAATACAAAATAAAATTTTAAAAATATATTGTCACACTGTCAATCAGAGCGCAAAGGCAGAAAAAGACAAAAGAAGTAAGCAAGGAAAGCCCCACCTGTTCATCACCTCTTACGTACAAGGCCAGCCACGTCGATGACAGGTTGAGCGCTGGCTGCCCCCATCCCCGTGTGTCACAAGGACATTTTTTTTTTTATTTTCAATTCATTTTTGGCCCGTCCGGGCAAGTGGTCCCGGGCCACTCAGGTAACATAGCCTGGCTGGTAAGTCTATTGGTCATGCTACCGTCCGCAACCGAATAGAACGCCCGGTCATCGTAGCCGTACTTGGTGCAACTTTCAGTCCACATACAACGATTACAACCGGGCGTTCTATTCGGGTGAAGACAGGAGTGGCGACTGTGTTCATACCAGCCCCTGTGGCATGTCTGGCAGATGTTAAMAAAAAAAAAAAAAAAAAAAACGCCACGTGGACTATCATCCTGGCTGGTAGGGGTTCATCTAATCCCTTTTTTTTTTTTCTTTTTTTTTTGGCATTCACCTACTAGTCGCATTCAAACGCTGACCATTTTCGTTCCCTTCTTGCCACGTGGCCAACCATCATGAACCGGATCAGCCGCTCCCGATTTTAGGATGACAAGAAAAAAAAGAGAAAAAAAAAGAGAAAAAAAAAAAAGAAGGGAAATAGTGTAACCTCCAGCAACTGTTCATTGTTTTCTTCAATCAAAGAATAAAACCGTCCTCCACGGAGTCCACAGCATATTCTATTTCCTCTTTTTTTTTTTTTTTTCCCTTCTTTTTCCCTCGTATCCACATCATATTTCATTTCCTGCTATATAGGAACCAAACCCTTCTGATATCGCCCTCTGCACCAATCGAAAGGAGCCATTCAAAAAAAAAAAAAAAAAAAAAAAAAAACCCTGCAAATCGTCTCCCCACCAACAGAAAGCAGCCATTGACATAAAAAGAAAAAGAAAGAAAGCATCGTGCTAATGAAAAGGTTCGTGGCTAAATGACACACACACGAAGGACTAACGATGATTCGGTTCAGAGTCACATTTTCATCCTCGGGATGCAACAAGTTAAGAGGTCGCCCCACCGAAAAGGCAAAACTCGGTAAAGAAAAACTCCTTCACCCTCGTGGGGAGAGAGGGGAGGAGAGAAAGGAAAGAACCCTTCCTTCACCCCCGCGCCTCCCACCAGTTCCAGCTCCCTTTATCGTCTCCTTCCTCCTCCCCTCCCCAGTGCCTTGCTCTCTCTCTCTCTCTCTCTCTCTCTCTCTCTCTCTCTCTCTCTCTCTCTCTCTCTCTCTCTCTCTCTCTCTCTCTCTCTC